CACACACACACACACACAGACACACACACACACACACACAGAGACAGACACACACACACACACACGCAAGTGAGTTCATCTTACAAACTTCCTGTTTTCATTTAAAGCTTCTAATAAATGTGACCCTGGAGCACAAAACCAGTCATAAGGGTCACTTTTTTGAAATTGAGATTTATACATCATCTGAAAGCTGAATAAATAAGCTTTCCATTGATGTATGGTTTGTTAGGACAGGACAATATTTGGCCGAGATACAACTATTTGAAAATCTGGAATCTGAGCTGCTTTTGTGCTGCAGGCTCACATATTACTAACCATCACACATATTTGATTTATTAATTTCTAAGGCTCTAAATGATCAAACTCATTACTGCAGATATAGAGCGACGACTGATATTTAGATCATTTTATGTCAGCATCTGCTGCACTGTTATAAAGATCTCATTGATTTACATTACAGAAATCAAAATCCCATCACATTAATATCAGCATCAGCAGCAAATTCATATTTTTGCTGTTATTCTCAAATTCTCACTATATCAGACTATACGAGCCATAAAAGCCTGATGCATTAAATATGATACTCAACATAAAACACATGTACACACTTATTTTTTTTGATTTTTCAATAAAATTAATTAATTAAAATATGTCAGGCTTTACAGGGATAATATCTGTGAACATATCAAAAATCCCAGATCTTACAAAAGACATCCTTCCGATTTAAGAGCCGTTCCAGAGAGCGCAGGGTTAACAGCGCTAGTTAGTTACTTAGTTGGACTCGTGATGTGTCTGCTGCTTCACTCACTGGCTACAGTGACGACGAGCTCCTGCTGCTTCTGTCCGGCTGTGTTGCGGGCGACACACGTGTAGACGCCCGAGTCTGATCCGTCTGTGGGGCTGAAGATCAGATCTCCGTTCCGCTGATGGACTCGACCCTCAGACGCCACACGAGCTCCCGCACGCTCCCACCACACCTGCGGCTCCGGCTGACCCCGCGGCGGATCACAGCGCACACGCTCACCGCGGCCCGCAGAGAAAACACGCCACAAGCGCTCGCCCATATCTGCGATCTCTACAGAGACACACAGCAGCAGCCAGCAGCTACACACTCATCTGCTCTGACACCAGGGGATATTTGTATACTTTCTGTTTTATGTTATTTTTTTGTTAAACTTTCAGTCATTTAGTTTTTTTGCATGTTTTAAAAAAAAAATATGTATATGTTAATACATGTTTTATTATTTTTTATGTCAGTTTTAGTGAGTAATTTGGTTGTTTTATATTGAATATACTGCCCCCCCCCACACACACACACACACACACAGCTAGTTAAAGCAATGAGCCACTGCAAATGCATAATGCGTAAAATCACTGTAAATGTACAGAATGCAGCAACATGATACATTATTAATTTTATTAATAACAGAATATAAACACTTCTGCCACAAACGAGCTGTTGATTAGTGTTGATTAGAGCTATTTACTGTTGCTAAGCGACGTATGTGTGTCACGGGTGTGTGTTTATGGCGTCAGACACAATCTGTCTGATCAAACGATCTAACACTCAGATTCAGTCAAAACAGACAAACGCCTGCAATCCCAGAATCCCCTGAGTGTGTTTACGTTTGTTCAGTTTCGATTAACACTTCTCAAGCTGATGAACAACTGAAAGCATGAGTCAAATGAGAGCAGAATCAAACTTTAATTTTAACAAATTTTAAGTTTTAGAATTGTTGTTGTTTTTGTAATTTTTAATATGTCTATATAGTTATTAATAATTTTTATTTTACATTTTAAATTGTTTTGTTTACATGATGGATCATTTATCTGTGGGTGGTCAGACGTTCTGAACAGCTTTACATTAGGGATGTAACAATATATCGAAATCTCACAGTGATATTATTGCAATATGAAGTCCACGATATGATAATTATTGTGATATTTAAAAAGAAAAAGAAGACAAATGAAGAATTGGGAAAAAATGAAAATTGTGTACATTTTAAAGTTAAATTATTCTATCTAATGCACTTTGAGAGTTCAAAATTAAGAGCTGCAACCCTCGTTCTTAACTAAGAAAACTTAGGTCAGAAAAAAGGTATATTTCATAGGTATACTATTTTTGCTTTACACTACAGCAGGGAAATTACAATACTTCTTTCCTAATTTCTACACTTGAAATAGATATTTAGAATTTGGACTGCATTTAAACCGCTAGCTGTCAGCGATTCACACGTCACTTTTTAACTTTTATTTTGATTTACTTTCCAGCTTCAGTGAAAACATGCTTACAAAAACACAAACATGTCTCACTACAAATCTAGTGAAACGCTGTAATCATCTGCCGTGAAAATAAAGCATAACTGTTGTTCCCAAGCGCGTGCTAAACTCACAGCACGTGAAATAAAGGAGTGGACTGCATTCATTCAGTGTGAACGAGTCGTTCTGAGACGCAGAAAACACCGGATCACGAGCTGATCGTCTGAACGACGTGAGCTCTTCGCTTTGAAACAACATGCAGCAAAAACAGACTCGATGAAGGAATGAAGCATATTGTGCTTTCGGTTTGAGTTCGTTTGACAGATACTGTGCCAAAGCATAATGACCCAAAACAAATATATTTTAAAAACGACACTTTTTGCCCAGAAGACCTATCGTTTCATATCGTCATGTGACCACGATAATATCGAGACTGTTGATAATATCGTTACATCTCTACTTTACATTCAACAGATTCGCAGTTTCTAATAATTTTTATTTTTAGTTTAGGTATTTTTTAAATATATTTTCCGTTTTCACTTTAATTTCACCTAGTGTAAGTTTTAGTCGTTTTGGGCACTCTTACCCTCTCAACACTTAAAGAGTAAACTGACCAGCCTGTTTGTGAGCGTCTGCATGTGATGTAAGCATTAGGAAACATTCAGAGATGTGAAGCGTCTCACCGTGATTTGTTGAGGACGGGTTCTGCGTCGTGGAACCACTCGATCAGCGGCGGCGGCTTGGCTCTGAACTGACAGTGAAACACGGCCTCCTCATTACGCAGAACCACCTGATCCACCGGAGCCACCAGCACACGGGGAACAGACTTATCTGAACACACACAGAGAGACAGAAGAGTCACGCTTCAGCTTATGAATATAGAGTAAAGACACTCACACACACTCATCTACTTGCCAGCTGCTATCAGCACTGACAGCACCTGGATCAGACCACATTCCACAGAGAGAAACTCATCTGACCGTCCCTCCGTTTGATCCTTGTGCTCCTGCGGGACGTGATTCTATAAATCACCCTTTACTGATTTATAGTCACATTTACAATCGTGATCATGTTCAATAAACATATTCATACAGTTACTAATGAAACAAAACTCACATAGTCATTTTAGGTTGAATGAAATTAATACTCATCAGTTGAATATTCTATGTTGATTACATCAACATTGTGTTGATAATTTTTTTTTATATATTCATTTTAAGTTGTATCAAAATCAATTTTTTAATCAATTACTGATTCAGCAATACATAAATGTTGTTAATGATTTAATCAAGTGTTGTCCGTCTCTGTTGTGTGTTGTCCGACAGAGATATTCCTGTTGGTTTATGATGTTTTGTGATGATGTGACTCATGATAAGTGTTTTTATCGTCTTGTTCACAGGAAATGCAGCTCTACACGAACTCCATTTCTGCAACTGCTGCAAGTTTGAGTCGCTTATAATGTAATGTAAATGTAGATCTAGATCAGACAGAAATGCTTTAAATCAGACAGACATGCTGTAGGTCATACAGATACGTTCTAGATCAGACAGACAGGCAGACAGACATGCTCTGGGATCAGACAGACATGCTGTCGATCAGACAGACACGCTGTAGATCAGATAGAAATGTTTTAGATCAGACAGACAGGCTCTAGATCAGACAGACACGCTTTAGGATCAGACAGAAATGCTGTCGATCAGACAGACACGCTCTAGATCAGACAGACAGGCAGACAGACATGCTCTGGGATCAGACAAACAGGCTCTAGGATCAGACAGACACGCTGTAGATCAGACAGACATGCTGTAGATCAGACAGACACGCTCTAGGATCAGACAGACACAATCTAAGATCAGACAGACATGCTCTGGGATCAGACAGACACGCTGTAGATCAGACAGACACGCTCTAGGATCAGACAGACATGATCTAGGATCAGACAAACACGCTGTAGATCAGACAGACACGCTCTAGGATCAGACAGACACGCTCTAGATCAGACAGACATGCTCTAGGATCAGACAGACATGATCTAGGATCAGACAGACACGCTCTAGGATCAGACAGACATGATATAGGATCAGACAGACACGCTGTAGATCAGACAGACACACTGTAGATCAGACAGACACGCTCTAGGATCAGACAGACACACTCTGGGATCAGACAGACACGCTGTAGATCAGACAGACACACTGTAGATTAGACAGACACGCTGTAGATCAGACAGACACGCTCTAGGATCAGACAGACATGATCTAGGATCAGACAAACACGCTGTAGATCAGACAGACACGCTCTAGGATCAGACAGACACGCTGTAGATCAGACAGACACGCTCTAGGATCAGACAGACACGCTGTAGACCAGACAGACACGCTGTAGATCAGACAGACATGCTGTAGACCAGACAGACATGCTGTGGTCTGTCTGCGTGTGTAAACTCTCACTCTCACTGCCGCCCACTATTCTTCTGCTAAAGCTCTTTATCCTCGCTCCTCTCGCTCTCTCCTTTCATTTGTAATATTCATGCTCCAGCTGATCTCTTTATTCTTCAGCAGAGCTTTTATTCTGTCTGCAGGTGTGTGCGTGAGTAGCGCAGGTGGCTTATGGGAAGGCTGGCCGAGGTGTTGGGTTACGCATTAGACATTCCTGCTTAGTTGCACACATGAGATGACAAACATAGCAGAACACACACAATAAAACCTGAGTGCGCATGTGAGGGCAACACTGACACGCTCAAGCAGTCTACATAAACGGCACGTCTTCTCACACGTCAAACTAAACTAAACTAAACTATAATCTATAAATCTTATCTAGAAGAACCTGAGCTTGTGTCTATTCAAACCTTATAATCTTACCAAAAATATTGAGGGTGATATTGTGGTTACTGCACACTTTTCCAGCAGCATTTTGAGCACAGCAGAAGTATATCCCAGAATCCCCTGTGCTGAGGTTGGTCAGCGTCAGGATCCGGTCCTTTCTGTCCAGCTGAGCTCCATCTTTGAACCATTTACTGCTCGGCCTGCACAGGTCAGAAACATCTTTTCACACAGAATCAGCGACAGTCAGTAGACTATGATCAGAAACACATCTGTAACCTACGGAAGACAGTTTCTGTTACAGAATAAAAAAATAAATTACCTTTTTACATTTTTTCTATTTTTATTTTGTGGTGGAAACAGGGCTTCCATTTGAACCTACATCATTCACTGTTCATATATTGCAGGAGATCTGTGTGAGGATCAGACTCATGTTTCACTGTCCAATCAGATGCTGGACTCACCGTGGATGTCCATCAATGTGACACTGCAGCACGATTCGCTCAGCCTCCTCTAGCTCCGCCTCTGAGGCGGGTTCGTTCATTGTAATTGGCCCCTTCTCCAGCCCTGAGGACACACAACAACATCCACAACCATGACTAGAATAAAAAATAAAAACTCTCTATATCCAATATTTCTCTATTTTCTTCAACAACAAAAAAAGAGAAGAAAAAAATCCAGAAATAAATCTGTTCAGTAATCACAATTATAATGTTGAGCAAATAATTGTGATGATCAGTTTAACCATTATGTAGCATGACTAAAATATGACTTTAAAATGTTTTCCCGACTAAAACTAGACTAAAGCTCCTAGACTTTTAGTCAACTAAAACTTGATTTAACAAAAACAGGACAGGTTGACTAAGTATGACACAAACTAAAAAGGGTATTAGATTAAAGGTCTAAGACGAAATAAAAAAAAAACAACTGACAAAATGACACAATTTGAAACACAAACCATCCAAATAAATGTAAATGTAAGTGAATGTTATGACTGGTTTGTGTTCACTTGAGATCTGTCCAGATGTTTTCTGAGAGCTGTTAGGGTCAGATCCAGTGATCTACATGTTTTAATGGTCTCTCTGTTCGTGTGTTTGATTATTTTGCCCAGCTAATGCTCATAAATGCGGTGGATGATTGTAAAAGTCATGTGTCTGAAACAGATGAATATAGTGCCACATGATGAGAGAGAGAGAGAGAGAGAGAGAGAGAAATCTCTCCAAATATAGATGAAGTAACCATGATTTAGAAATAGAGAGAGGAAGACATAGACAAACATGGACAGAGCAAGAGCAGAGGATCTGTAGACACTGTGATCTACAGCAAATAAAGGACCAGAAACACTTTCTGCTGATCTGTCCTAAATATCACACTGTGAGGGGAACATTTCTCCCCAGATTTGAAGCATGACATCTAAAGAGCCACCAGATTTTTAAAAAAGTGCACTTCCATCATGTACTTAAAGTGCTCTATTCTCGCGTATTGTATTGTATTGTGTACACATGAACCATTTTTCATACACTAGTACACTCAAGTGTACTACAAGTGCTGACTAAATACATTTTAAATACAGAGATAGTATGTTAAAAGTGCATTTTAGTTCATATTCATCACAGTGTCCCAAAATAGCACAGTTGAGTACACTTAGTTTATCTTAAGAAGTACTAAAGAATCATTTTTAGTATATTAAGTACAAAATTAGTGCGCGAGAATAGAGCACTTTAAGTACATGATGGAAGTGCACTTTTTGTTAACCTGGGCCGTGACGCCTCGTTTCCAGAGACGCACACAATCGCAGCTCACATTTGATGTTGATTGAGGCATTGGCGGAGGTCACGGTCTCTCCGGTGGAGCTGCTGGATGCCACACACTGGAAGCAGCCGGTGTCTGCGTGACGGTCCACCGCCGTGAACTTAAGGTTACTGCCCTCCTGGAAGCGGCGGTTCGAGTCCTGCACGCGACGGCCGTCCTGAGTCCACCAGAAGCGCATGTCCTCCGGGCCGCTGAGCTCACAGCGCAGGATAGCACTGCGGCCGTGTAATGCGTCCTGAGACTGGGGCTCTTCGGAGAAATGAAGCGAAGACGCCTGGATGATGAAGACTGAGAGAAACACAGAGAACCAGTCAAACTGCTGAACAAAACACTTTAGACTCACATCAGACGAATAAACATCACCAGACAAATCAAACCCATCAGCATGTTTGCATTCATTAATGATGCAGTGAGATGCGTGTTTGCCAATACAAACACACACACACACAAAACCTTCATCATCATCGTCATCATCAGGAGCTCTGAGCTCATCTGCAGACCTCATCACATCATGCATGCTGGGATCCCGTGAGTTTGATTATGTGCTTTATCTTATACTTGCATGTATTCATTTTGCACTTTTACCAAAGCAATTTGACAGACACAGTATTCGCAGCATGCAGTGACAGGACTAGTAAAAACTAGACTGGCAAACAAGCTAGAGCAGAGGAGAAATGCATTCATCAATTTATTGATTTATTTTAATAAACTACAGAGTTACACACTGCATAACGTGTTGTTCTTACTCAGTGTTTTCCAGTACATATATCTAAACATTCACAAATCAAAGCAAAATGACATCAGATAAGAAGATAAGAAATTCAAGTGAGCTTGTGCTTAAAACAAGAATGAAAACTTGATTTCTCATTTAATTAAGTAGATTTTTCTGATCCATGGGCAGATATTTCTTCTTATTTCAATTTCTCAGAAAACAAGACATTAGTTCCTGTGGCTCAGTGGTAGAGCATTGTGTTAGCAGCGCAAAAAGGTCATGGGTTCAATTCCCAGGGAACACACATACTGGTAAAAATGTATAGCCTGAATGCAGTGTAAGTCGCTTTGGATAACAGCGTCTGCTAAATGCATAAATTATTATTAAATTAAATTATCTTGATTTAGGAATCCTTTATTTATTTGTTCTGGACAATATAAACATTGAGCAGGGCTATTATAGTTACCTAAAACAAAAACGTTAATAAAATCAATGTTAAATGAAATAAAATAAAATATAAAAAACTAAAACTTATTTTATTTCATCAAGTTTCCAAGGCAACATTTCTAATTTTTATTTAGTTGAACTTGATATACTAAAATAACAAACTAAAAATTTAATGAAAATTAAATACTATATAAACATATTTAAAAACAACAAAAATTTATTTGAAAAAAACAAAAACACAACAAATTTACTAAAATTAACATGAAAGCAGAACATATAAAAATAAAATCTATTTCAAAATATTAACAAAAAACTATAACAGTCAATGATGCTAAATTAACACTGATATTAAATAAGAACATCACTATTTGTGCCTTTATGGTTGTAGTTACAGCGCTTAACTAACCCAAAAACAAGCACTTAATTAACACACTTGTTACTGGGTTAGTTAAGTGCTTGTTTCCGGGTTAGTTTAGCACTTGTTTCCGGGTTAGTTAAGCGTTAGTTTCCTGGTTAGTCGAGCGCTTGTTTCTGGGTTAGTCGAGCGCTTGTTTCCGGGTTAGTTAAGCGTTAGTTTCCTGGTTAGTCGAGCGCTTGTTTCTGGGTTAGTCGAGCGCTTGTTTCCGGGTTAGTTAAGCGTTAGTTTCCTGGTTAGTCGAGCGCTTGTTCCGGGTTAGATAAGCGCTAGTTTTTTGGTTAGTCGAGCGCTTGTTTCCTGGTTAGTTAAACGCTAGTTTCCTGGTTAGTCAAGCGCTTGTTCCGGGTTAGATAAGCGCTAGTTTTTTGGTTAGTCGAGCGCTTGTTTCCTGGTTAGTCGAACGCTTGTTCCGGGTTGGTTAGTCGAGCGCTTGTTTCCGGGTTAGTCGAGCGCTTGTTTCCGGGTTAGTCGAGCGCTTGTTTCCGGGTTAGTCGAGCGCTTGTTTCCTGGTTAGTCGAGCGCTTGTTTCCGGGTTAGTCGAGCGCTTGTTTCCTGGTTAGTCGAGCGCTAGTTTCCTGGTTAGTCGAGCGCTTGTTTCCTGGTTAGTTAAACGCTAGTTTCCTGGTTAGTCAAGCGCTAGTTTCCTGGTTAGTCGAACGCTAGTTTCCTGGTTAGTCGAACGCTTGTTTCCGGGTTAGTCGAGCGCTTGTTTCCTGGTTAGTCGAGCGCTTGTTTCTGGGTTAGTTGAGCGCTTGTTTCCGGGTTAGTCGAGCGCTTGTTTCCTGGTTAGTCGAGCGCTAGTTTCCTGGTTAGTCAAGCGCTAGTTTCCTGGTTAGTCGAACGCTAGTTTCCTGGTTAGTCGAACGCTTGTTTCCGGGTTAGTCGAGCGCTTGTTTCCTGGTTAGTCGAGCGCTTGTTTCCGGGTTAGTCGAGCGCTTGTTTCCTGGTTAGTCGAGCGCTTGTTTCCGGGTTAGTCGAGCACTTGTTTCCTGGTTAGTCGAGCACTTGTTTCCTGGTTAGTCGAGCGAGCGCTTGTTTCCGGGTTAGTTGAGCGAGCGTTTGTTTCCGGGTTAGTTAAGCGCTTGTTTCCGGGTTAGTTAAGCTATTGTTTCCGGGTTAGTTAAGCTCTTGCTTCTGGGTTAGTTGAGCGAGCGCTTGTTTCCGGGTTAGTTGAGCGCTTGTTTCCGGATTAGTCGAGTGCTTGTTTCCGGGTTAGTTAAGCACTTGGGTCTTCAGCTGCTTGAACTGACAAGCGTGTTAAATCACGTGTATAACGGAGCGTCTTACATGTCAACACACATCCAGTGTCTGTATCGAATGTCAAAGACATTTTATTTGTTATATTGTTATTTGCAATCCCATGATGCTCTTAAAGTGGGCCAGTAAAAGCTTCCATACATTATTCAGGCATGTGGAAGAAAAGCTTCAGGCAGAAACTATAGAAGAGCTTCAGTCAGATTCAGACCCGTCTGCGCCTGAAGATCACACTGACACCGATACAGACGCAGAGAAGCTCATCTTCCACATTTATGTTTGCTTTTTAATCACACTTTTATAGAACATCTGTGTCATTTTTGATGCTTCAAAACATGAACAAGTAAATGACAGAATGTTGGGGAAACTTTATCTGTACAACCTGTAAAACACCATGAAATGCCATCAGAATGATCACGACAGCAGAAGATGCTTCACTGGAAGCACTGGATGAAACACAGCTGCTTTATTGAACACATGTGAAGACAGACAGAAGATTCACGAGAAACAAACGAGACCAGAACACTTATTAACAAACTGCAGAGAAAACAACCAGCAATAATGGCACTGTTAAACAAATAAAGTCAGAGCGTCACGAGGATCAGTAAACGATGACAGAATGATATTTTTGGCAGAACGGTCATTGACTTGACATCATCTGGGGGAGGAGCAGTGATGATTTGTCTTGAATGAGTGCTAATTCATCTGAACTCGGGTCAAACATCAGCTCCAGTCCTGTGAAGGTCAATGACATGGCAACCCGTCTGCTTCATCTCTCTATGGGTCTTCTGCTGTTATGAAAGACAAACTCACTGACGGATCAATTATAGTGACAAAAGGATTCTGGGATTCATGACGGATCGATCAATGACCGTTTACAGCTGCTCTGCCAATGAGACGCGATCAGAGTTACATCAGGAATTATTAATTAACGTCTGGATTAACACTACATATAACACTTTCATATTTAATATTACAATTTACACAAAAAAAAACAATAATTTTAGAATTAAAAAAAAAATAGAAAATTACTTTTCCATAAATGTGAATTACTGGTACGATGTATTTAAGTTTCTCAAATGTGAGTTGATGAGAAAAAAAAAAAAAGATTAGTCCACCTCTGAATGGCTGAAGAAAAGCAAAATGAAGACTTTGGAGTGGCCTAGTCAATGTCCTGACCTGAATCCTATTGAGATGCTGTGGCATGACCTTAAAAAGGCGGTTCATGCTCGAAAACCCTCCGATGTGGCTGAATTACAACAATTCTGCACAGATGAGTGGACCAAAGTTCCTCCACAGCGCTGTAACAGACTCATTGCAAGTTATCGCAAACGCTTGATTGCAGTTGTTGCTGCTAAGGGTGGCCCAACCAGTTATTAGGTTTAGGGGGCAAACACTTTTTCACACAGGGCCATGTAGTTTTGGATTTTGTTTTCCCTTAATAATAAAAACCTTCATTTAAAACTGAAAAAAATATATATATAATAAAAAAAACTTCAACATATTTTATTTAGCTTCCTTTATTTAGCTAGCTTCCTAGGCAACATTTCTCATTTTCGTTTAGTTTAACTTTACATACTGAAATAACTAAAACTGAAATAAAACAAAAACTATATCGACATATTTAAAAACGACAAAAACTAATAAAAATGACAAAAACCCAGAACACAATTATGAAAACTTTAACTAAAATTAACATGAAAGTAGAAAATATAAAAACAAAATCTAATTACAATTTTAACAAAAACATAAAATAACACTGCATCAGAGAATGGGAGCATGTGAATGTGTTGAGAAATTATCGAAATATTAACTTATAATTTTAGGTGGGCTATCAACCAAAACTGAGTGTGATATAACTTTGGCTTATATCACAGAGCCTCATCATAACAGTCAAACAATCAGAATCTTCTAAAGCAGCATCAGATTTCTCCTCAGACGTAAAAAATAAGAACAGCAGGGAACGAAAGTCAGGTTGAAACAGGCTCGTCTTCATTAAACTCCTAAAGTTCTGTCACGAGGGACGTGTTTTCACTCATTCACATCCATCGGTCGTCTCCACAAATGAAGCGTCTATTGTCACGTGTGGGATCCGTGACCAGCTGTATTTACAACAGCGCGGTAAAAATGTGGTAAAATGCCGAGACGCCTCTAAAAGCTTTTTAACCATTAAAAGCATTACAGTAAATGTGTGGCCACCCAGAATCTGCTTTACCCATGACACATCTGGGGCCCGGGGCCCTTCAGAGCCGACGCATAAAGACGGCATTGTTCACTGTGTGTACTGTCATCATTCATGTGTTTATGATGATACTCCAGCTTCTGATCATAATCTCCTCAGGATAACAGGAGTAAGATACCTGGAGACGGATGGGAACCGCTTCAGATGAGCAGAAGATGAGCAGAACGGTCTGTAAGTCCAGACAAACAGGTGTAAATCATCACTAGATGTTTAGC